GACTGGCCACAAGAAATAAAAGCTGTCCTTTCTTGCCTGGTAATCCACAGATTCATCAAGAGAAGATACACACAGGGCAGCTGGGCCTCTCCGGCTTCTGACAGTGCCAATCAGCTGTACCAGTCACTGTGCACACTGATATCTGCAGAGGTCACTGAGGATTTGTTGCTTTAAGGTATACTTGGCTTTGGTTTTCACAGACTTGCTATTTAATAGACAGGCATTTTCTGTTGAACAAAGGAAGTCTGTTTAAAGAACAAAATAAAATATAACTATCAGGATTTCACAGCTGTAATCTTACTGTGCAGTATATCCTGGATTCGACTGCAAGAGCATACGATACAGCTGTCTTCTGCTTGTTTCAGTACAACCACCAAATGCAAAACTTTTTTTTTTTTTTCTAATGACAAAACTTTATGGGCATTCATGCTGTGCATTGTTCCAGTATAGGATAACCCAGAAGAACAATTTCTCCAGTGCTACAACATGTCAGCAACAAACTGCAATAAGGACAAACAGAGAGCTGTTGATGTAGTGTGACACTGAGCAACCTACATGATCAATCTAAGTGTGAAGTGAGGACGCTTACAGGACTCTAACCATAAAGTTTGTTGCACGAGATGACACCAATGACCCATCCTAACAATTAACCTGGCCACCTCTTGTACTTTCAACACAAGCTGAGGTCTTCCAAGTTTTCCCACACCAGTGACACTGAGGTAAAAATATCTGCCTGACGCCACAAGCAGTAACGTGACACCCAGGACCAGGAGGTTCAGTCTCTGTTATCATCCAGCCTGAGCTCTGACATATACGACCAAGTGCTTGCTCTCATTTCACTTTTTACAGATTCATGTCAAAGTAAAGAGCACATCACCAATGCTGCGTTATCAGTGATCATGTCTCATTAAATCAAGGTTACTGGTATTCAACGTGCTCTTAGCTTGTGGGATTTACGCTAAGAAAAAACATACTGAAAAATGCTGGAGAAAAAAAAAAAAAAAAAAAAACAGCAGTAAAGTTTAACAGACTGCAGTAGGTGATCAGGGGGGCTGAAAAGGCTTTTCGTAGCTGTGGGGATCTTGCATAACTTGGGAAAGTCTTGGTAGTTCTTAATTAGTCCACTACAATTTGCTCAGTGGGACACTATGCATCAAGTAGTCAAGAGCCAAGCGTGGAACAAAGGAGCAAAGTGCAAAATACACACAAATAGACTGCTGAGAAATCATTTCTGAGAAGTTAGCAAAGCCAACCATAATTTTAACTTTAGGGCTGAATACCTTCTAATATTATCAAAGAACAAATTAGAAATTGGAACTGTGCTGGCAGACAAAAGACTAAACCCATTAATAGGACTATCCTACTTATTGCAAAGGCAAATGGACTGGCAATAAATCCTCCTGTGTTTCAATAAAATGCAATTTCCTTAATCTTCAAGACTCTCTTAATGTTTAAATGGTTTGCATTCAATTTTTAAGGCTTACTTTTGAATATTGAGGCATATTCTGAAAATCGCATGGAGCATGCAGTCTTGGACAAGTACTCAGTAAAACTTCAAAGGGGCTCTGATCTCATATTTGTGAAACAACAGGGTTTTATTTATTTTACAAGGAAAGCCTATACTATGTAAACTTATGAATTAGAACTTGCATAGTTGTCACTGTTTCCAGATATTTAAAGGAGCACACTTTAGTCTGTTCACTTGTGTTTACATATAAAATGTACTTAATCCAGGTCCGTATGCATAGGCATAATAGTTAATTTGTACAAATTGCATGGAAATCTATACAGAAAAGTCTTTGGATTTACTTTTTAGGAAACTTTACTTTTAAATACAGACCAAATTTGGAGCAAATCTAACTACACAATCCTTCTGAAAAGTCTTGGGAATAAGTGCCTTCCTTACGATCAGTTCACTCAAGAATTTTTCCCAGTGCTGAAAAGTATGCTGGGTGTGTGCTACTTTAACTTCTCTAAATAAAACAAGAGGGAACATTTCATAAAGCATACAAAATTATTTGTATTATACAAACATTTCAAGATAATTCAGTAATAAGGAGAAGAGTAAAACTGAAAGCAAAGATGCGCCAGTAGGCTCAGAACTGATGGAGTTGTACTGTAGAATACTGAATTCAGAGTAGCTCTGCTAAGGAACATCTGGTTGAATTTAAATTGCGAAGTTTGTACTCAGCATGTTAAGACAAACAAAATGATGACTTTGGCTTCAGACACTAGTAACAAGCTGCCTGCAAACAGGCTATCAATTTAACTACTACTATTAGACTCTTCCAAGCCTCCATAGGGTCCTCCTTTTTATCAGAGAGATAGGCAGGTACCACAAGGGAAGAAAGTACGTTAGAAAAGGATTGGCAATAACACAAGGGAGGTTGTAACACTGAGAAATTTTGCTGTTTGAAGAAAGACTGAGTGCACATATTAGAAGGGTAAAAGTTGCATTTGATATAAACCACAGATTTCTTCAAACTCACATCCAAAAAAAAAATTTACCCAAACACTGTGCAACTGGGTTATAAATGCTACCACTTAGGGCTTCATAAACCAAACATAATCACACGGCAATTTGGGTCCTCAAACAAGAAATAAGTATTTATTTTTAAGAAACTTCACAAGGCTACAAATCCCCTGTAGCTTGTTTTTATAAATAATTATTTTTACTAGCCTTTAAAACAGACAAGGACAAAGAACATTACCTTTAAAAATCCTTACAGCTTTTTAAATCCTAGTGAAACTGTGATTCTAACACCGATGTTATTTTCTAAGAAAATGAAGCCAGTGATTCACCCACTTACTCCAGTAAAGAGCCAGATCTTTAAAAATGCATTTTAGCATAGATGAGACGATCTGGCTAGGGTCTCAGATTTGAATGCTTTAGTTGTCTAACAAATAAAGTCAATCTACTTCTTCAAAAATATATATAACTATGAAGGATCACTTTTTCCAAATAAATCCCCCAAATTAACTGGGGAAAACAGGAAATACTGAACATTCCATTTATTATAGAGAAGATTATAGTAGCAAAGAAAAAAAAAATAGACAGCTTGGGGCATTGATCTAAAGAATGTTCAGTAAATAATGGAATCCTTCTTTTTCTGATGATTCGGATTTTTTTGTTTGTTTGTTTCTTTTTTCTCCTTGTAAGGTTTTATCGATAACATTTGAAAAAATGTCCATACTTTAGAAGATATCCATCTCTACTTCTGCCTCACAGCATGGAAAGCAATAAAGAAAAAGAGCTTGCAATTATGTGCAACAATGATGTGTATGACCAAATAATAAAATAAAAATGTAACTTAAGTAAGCACTAAAATTTTGATGAGAGCAGATGAGGCAGTCAAAAAGACAAGGTACCTGTAAAGCAATGGAAGCAGACAGAAATTATTAAAAAAAAAAAAAAAAAAAAAGAGAGAGAGAGAGATGTTGACCCTTATGTTAAAATCTGTTTATAGAAATTGCAATATTGAGAACACAAGATTTCCGTAAAAGAAGGCCTAATGTAAATCTTTAAAGTATTTAAATCAGAGTACAGTTGGTTAAGACAAAGCCATCTGAGCTATCTCTCTGCTTCTGTTGCTAGAAGGGACATTTTCCATTATCTGTGTCACTTCCTTTTCTCTCTGCTCCTCTACTCCACAATTGTACCCTTGTGATTATGCCAGCAAAAAACTAACCCAAAAAAGTATTGGATTTTACCAGTTTAGTGAGCAGAAGAGCCTCACCAAAGGGGCCAGACAAGTGCCAGAGTCAGTCAAATGCTAAAAGACAGTGAAACGAGTAGGAGGAGCTATGCTGTTGGGAGCATGGAAAGATAAATTTAGAAGCCTAAATTTAGACTTTTTTTTTTTAATTGCCTAGCATTTTGGTACTTCTGATTTGGTCCCTCTGATTTGTAAACAATAGTCACTTTGCTTAAAACACCTATAGAAAAAGTTTGTGTGATGGAAGAAGAAAGTGGCAAAGGATCAGCTAATTTGATTTTGTGAACAAAGTCATTCAACTTTAACCAAAGAAAAGAAACAGAGGCAATTAAATTCATTTTTGGAACTGTTTCTGTTGCTCTCCTGAAAGAATACAGAGTATATGGCTGACTCTGTGCTGATGGAGATTAAAAAGAATACCTCCTTTTAGCACTTACAAACATTGCCATTTCTTAGGCTCTGGCTGAAGCCACAGATTTACTGTCACAAATCATTTTATGATCCCTACAGATAACTCAGATATCCACAGAATGTACATTTCAAAGGAAGCACAGATGTGGTCTCAAGTCTCATTTGGTATGGCAAAAGTTAAAAGGAACCATCATAAGCCTTAAAATGTGTGGCTAGATACAATACCTTAATGAAAGTTAACAGCATAAATTCCATGTAAGTACTACTTACTTAGACAACAGTTTCAACACTGACCTTAAAGCTCAGTACATGCTTGTTCACGCTTGTCCTTCCATGAATGAAGTGCACCGGGAAAACATTTTTGGGGGACTTATACAGTATGGACGTGCTTAAATTCACTCTGTGCTCCAGGATTAATTTCATAATAAGCAGAAAGCCAACAATCAGACTTCAGATCAATTAGATTTAACAGCAGTTTTTAACTTGTCTCTGTCATGTTCTAAAACCATTTAATGATTATCCTGTAGATTGGGTTTTCTTTAGTCTGATGCAAATTCAATTTTGGTTTGTTTAGGGATATTTAATCTGTTCATTCTTCAAGTTTTTTGGGGTGGTTGAATTACATTTCCTACATCACATTTAATGGCAATATTAGTTAGACAAAAAAAGCAGACACGGCAAAACTCACAGACATAAAAAAACTGTTTGATTTAATCCTCACTAGCTAAGAGATGTGATCTTTAGTAAATTGATATCAGATAAAAATCACAGTGAAAACAAAGTAGGTTTGGTTGTGTTTGGTTTTTTTTGTTTGTTTCAGGTTTTCTCTGCTAGCACTTAAAGAATGTGCAGATACATACAGATATAACTTACCAAAGGCTGTTTATGGAGGATCAAGAATCAGGCACACTGTAGATGTAATCTGTAGCAAGAAGAGAAGAACGTATAAAGTAAAGAGTCCAGATTTACATTTGGCTTATACAGTAACATTGAAGGACTAATTTATAAAATTATGAACCTACTTTGCCAAAATGGAAAATCAAATATTTGATTATACTTATTTGATTATAGCAGATTTCAGTACCCAAGGAGGGCCTGAAAGGAAGTTGGAGAGGGACTCTTTATCAGGGAGTTTAGTGGTAATACAAGGAGTAATGCCTTTAAACTAAAAGAAGGTAGATTTAGATTACATATGAAGAAGAAATTATTTAATGCCAGGGTGGTGAGGCATTGGAACAGGTTGCCCGGAGAAGCTGTGGATGCTCCATCCCTGGAAGTGTTTACAGCCAGGTTGGATGGGGCTTTGAGCAACCTGGTCTGGTGGAAGGTGTCTCTGCCCATGGCAGGGGGGTTGGAATTTGATGATCTTTAAGGTCCCTTCCAACCCAAGCCATTCTATGATTATTGTGAAGTTTGCTTCTGGTCACTTGCAAACACTTCAGGAGTACTTGCAATGGTCTTCACTTAAAATAACGTCCTTAGGTCTCTGATACCAACCTCTATAGTTATTACAAGTTTTCACAATTCAAAGGGTGTAGCTCTAATTTGAAATCCTTAAATGGGCAAGTTTTCCAATATTTTTTTTTCACAATTATAGAATAAAATGTCATCCTCTGTGTTGCCAGCAAATGTCTAATAATTTATTTTCTATGTATTTTCAGCTCCCTTCTACTTCTTGTTCCTAAAGGCAAAGGCAACATTCTAATTAGCTGACACTTTAAGTCCATTTTCTGAAGGAATGAATGTTTTCTCCAGCAGATTCAATTTACGAGAGAGCTTTAAAATGCAGTCTAGCATCAATTGAAATCAGCTGCATCTTTTACATTCTCACAATTCATTGCTGATTAATGTGCAAGACTGACGTCAAGTATGTCTACCTGGAAGATATTGTTAGTACTACAAATAGAGCACTATCAATATTTGTAATTAATGACTAAACACTATTTAAAGCTAAGAATTGCTTTCAGGGTCATATTATCTTTCCAACTGTAATTATTAAGTTTCATATTGTACAAATTTCAGTTATATTCCAGGGATGGCTTCTAGGACTTCTTGTTTTATATCAGTTCTGTATAAGAGGATTGAAAACAAAGAAGTCATTTATCAGGGCTGTTAAACTTCAGAAGAAGGCAGACTGGTTTTGTTTGCTGCTTTACAACATTGTCAGTAGTTTAGGAGGTAACCCATTTAGTGTAGCTATCTCTACATGTACTTGCACAAGATCAAAAACCAACAAAAGCTAAACAAAGAGTTGAATCAAAGGTAATGAAAGAGTTGAGATTATCAAACTCCTTCAGATTACAACCTGCAAATGAGAGTTTGCTTTGCCATAGTGCTGTATAGTTTGGAAATCAAGTCTACTGTAGCAACCAAGAAGCTTTTCGCCAATATGCGCACATAAAAAGCCAACGAGGAAGAGATTTTCTTTGTTCATTGCTGTTGAAACACAATGTAATGAATATCTGGAGATATAAGAGGGCAGCAGTGCCTTTGTATGCTAATTATCTATGTGACAAGAAAAAAAAAATGCCTCTGTCAAACAAGGGAGCCTTGAGAGGAAGTAGCATGAAAATTAGAAACGTAAGCCTCATGGTAACTGAGCTGGACTCCACCATTGCATTTACTGCTTATGGATATTGCAGTACATAGTTTGCTTTTCCCAGTCCTTTTACAGCCTTGTAATTTTTATTTGGCTGAACAGTTTTTATCCTGGTATGTTCGACTGAAAAAAATCTACCTCTGACTCATCTGTTTGAGATTGCAGATAATAATCATCGGCTGGGGGAGGGATAATGAGATTGTTATGATGGAGACAAAGACCATCACGTCTCCAGAGCCCTGTTGTCTTTTCAGGCACTGACCTTCTCCTTGTCTGGCAAGGAACAGCTGAAGGGGCAGCGAAGGACATCAGGAGGGGGCAGTAGCCTGGAGTTCACGGACTCAGACATGCTAAAACTATTAACCTGATAGAGGAAGGCAAAGATTTCATTACACAAACCTAGATAAGTCTGCTAAATGGCAAATCGCTTACTTACTGTCATTTTCAGAAGCTGCGGGGCATTATTTAATGACAATTTTGAGAGATCCACCTAGATGTACTTCACTGGAGACAAATTTTAGGTGCGGCTGTGCTCCACTTGAGGACACCAACACGCAAATGGCAGCATTTTAAGGTTTTCCTTCTTATACACAGATCCACTATGGCTTGTAGCAGCTGTAACCCCAAACTAATGCCAGGTTTAAAACCTTCGGCTGCCTCAGGCGCCTCATTTTGGGTCAATCTCACGAGACTGCGCCCCGGTGCTGTGTCACCTCAGGGGCTGCGGGGCGGGCCCGGGCCCACCTCCACCTGCCCGGGGGGAGAGGCGGCAGCCGCAAGGCTCCTCCAGCGAGCCCCGGGGTTTGCAAAAAGCACCGCTTTCACACCGTCAGCCCTAAACCTCTTCTCCATCTTGCGCCTGAGGGGAAGGAAGGATGGCTTCCAGCCCCGAGGCAAGGAGAAGCCGTCGCCCATTTCGCGCGGGGGCGAGGAGGGCTCGCCACGCTCCTCAGCCGCAGGGCGCGGCGCTGCTGAAAGGGGTTGGAGGGGGAGGCCGGGCCCTCCGGCGGCTCCCCCGGGCGAGGCGAGGCGAGGGGAGGCGAAGTGAGGAGGGAGGGAAGCAGCCGCGGTTTCCTGCCGGGGAGGGGAGGAAGGCGGTGGCGGCGGAGGGCGCGGGGCCGCGGGGCGGAGCGGCCGCCATCAAGCGGAGTGTGGCAAGGAGCGAGCATCCCCGGGGCACGCCGCAGCGGGGCCGGCAGGAGAGGAGGTAACGGGGGCAGCAGCACCGCTACAGCCGTCCGGAGCCGGCGGGGGACGAGCCGGGAGACCCCCGGGGTAGGCACGGTGGGGAGGCGCCGGCTCCCTCCCGCTTTGGGAGGCAGCGCGGTGAGGGTGGGGGCCTCGCCGGCAGCACCCGCGGTCGGCTGCAGGTGTGCGGTGGTGGGAAGCTGCCCCATGTTTCTTGTTATTAATTATTATTATTTTTAACGGCAGCACCTGAGGGGTGTGCGTGTGTGTGAGGGGTGCCCTCAGCTCTGCTTGGCCTCCGGTTCCGGAGCCGGCCGGCGCCTCTGTCATGAGGCGCCTCTGCCCTGAGGCGCGTGGCCGCGGGAAGAAGGAAAAATAAATAAATAAAAAAGAATTTGTCTTATTTTATCAAAAAAACAACTGCTGGGGGAGGAAGGAGTGACCGAGACGAAGCGGCTCTGAGCCGGGCTCGTCACGCCAGCCGTGGACAGCCCCCGAGGTGGCTTTGCCGAGCCCCGTGTTGGTTTTATTTGTTTCATTTTTATGTTTCGTCTGGCTGCAGGCGAACACCGGGCTCAGAGCTCAGGTTGGGTCAGAATAGGGTGTTTTTGGGACAGGCACATGTGATAATGGCTGCTCTGCAGCCAGCCGCCACAGGAACTTAGGTGTCATAGTGTAATGCCCCCGGGCAAGCACGTGTAAGGTACTGGGTTTGATTGTTTGTGTGATTATTGTTATTATTTTTAAATTATTATTTTTGAAGAAAAGTGCTTTAAGGTGTGAATTAAGAAATGCCTTAGGTGACTAAGTTACAGCTAAAGAGTGTGTGTGTAGATGCGTAGTTGTGTGCCATCTGACTTCTCTCTCCCTGTTTTGAGAGGTTTCTACTTTTGTGCACCACCATAAAAATCAGATAAATGATTCAAACAGACTCAGTCATGGCCTGGCTTTACCTGAGGCTGATCCTGTGTGTTTCTCTAGATCTTTCTCCAGTTGTAGCTGCCTTGAGTGCTCACTTCTATCTGAAGACAGTTTACCAGAAAGTCCCTACTTGTAAGCTTAATTCTAATTTTTCCCTTGGAAATATAAAATAAACTAGAAGTGTGTGAGGGATATAGTGGCATGTTATTTTCCACTTGTAGCTAGCACAGTTCCTTACCTTCAAAGTAACTTGGCTTAAAGTCTATTACTGAGGTGGATTTGACTAGGATTAGTAGTATTTCAGTAAATTTTGAAAAGTTGCTAAGATGTTGTACAAGGATACCTGCTTGCGAGCAGGTTGTGAGTTTACCCTCATATAATGTTTGAAGCCTTTTTCAGGATTTGTCAGAACATGTGTGCAGTGTTGCTGAATTTCTCCTGTGCAGGTGTGTCTCACGTGCGTACAGTCAGGACTTACTGCCATCACTGATAGAAGGTTAAGTGGATAATTGACCTAGAAACTTCTCTTTCATATCTGTTCATATGATAAACACACCTCAACCTTTCTTACAAATGGATGTTACAGGCAGTTTTATTTGATCAAAGGTTTATGCTGTTTTTTACAGTGATAAAGATGATTTGCATAGGGGAGCATGCAAGACTTGGCTGAACAGGTTAAATCTTTGCATTGGGAACTGCTTTTGGTGCAAGGGCTTCCTGTCTGCTAACCATGTGTGACAGGGAAGTGATTTTTCTCTCACCAGAAACAAGGGCCATACTAGACAGACTAAACCTTTCCCACCTAAATTGTTAGACTATGAGGTGCCTAAATACATACACTGCGAGGAATAGGCATTTCTGGTACTTCCAACCTTTGCTCTGTTGGTGCTTAACTCTCTGAAGACATTTATGCTGTTTGCCGGTGTAGGGCAGTCTTGACTCTTAACTCAGAGGACCAATCGTTAAGAAAAAGGAGTTTTACAGCTAGGATAAGTGAATAGTCAAAGTATTTATGTAAGGTTGTGTTATAACAAGGGTTGCTGCATGCAGACAAGACTACTGCAGAAGACAGAGGCAGGAATACTGGAAATTTCTGCTAATGAGCAGGTATTGTATGTGAGTATTTGGTATTTGACATCTGCTCACAGGTTCAGTCCCTGCTGAACAAATGCCAGACCAGCTGCTGCCCTTGCTGAAGAAAGGAGAGGGGATCTTCCTCTTTCCCTCTACTTAAAGGAAGGCCACCTTGTAATGCAGTGTTAGTATTTCATTATAAGCGCACATTAACTTTCATTAGTTCCTTTGCTATGTGGGCAATGTGGTGTAGACCTTATCAGTGTATGTATTTTTGGTGAGACAATGAAGTGATCTTAGCTTCAGGTCACTCTGTCCCGGTCTTATACTGAAGCTGTCTATATCAACAGCAGTGTCATTTCAGTAGAAATCCTATGCATATCAGCAAAAAGATTCCTCACAGCTGCAACCATCAGCAAAAACAAGAGGTTAAGACTTTGTATTGCACAAGGGTGAGTGATGAGGAAACACACGTGTTAGCTTGTGTGAAGTCATAAGCTCACATTAGCCTTAGCAGTCCTATGGCAGGGCTTTGGCAGCATTAGAGTTCTAACTGTTTTGAGCTGGAATATTTCAGAATTGTTGCATGTGAAAAGATACTATGCTATTCCTCCCTGGTTCTTCACTTCCAAGCCTATCTTCTGTTTGCACAAAACCATCAGCCTTTTGCCAGAATCATGGATTCAATTTTTCTGTAGTTGTTTTTAAAGTTTCAAGTCTTGATGTAAGTTCAGTTTTCTCCAGTTTCTTCTGCCCTCTCTCTTCCTTTTAGGTGGTTTTAGTTCCAGTTAAGTGAAGTATTTGTAGAGGAAAACAAAACAAACAAACAAAAACCCTGCCAGTAGTTCTGTTTCTGTCATAGAGGTAGTGCAATAAGACATGTGACTCAGGCAAATAAGCAATTCCTGCCCTGAAGGCTTTAAGGCTAAAACAAGCAAGGTTAGAGAATGAAATGCCAAATCCTGAGTGAGCTGTTGTGCACACCTTCATGAAAACCTGAGTTGTTGTTGGCAGAGACCCAAAGCTGGGAATAACAAAAGCAGATTCAGAGAGGGAGAGGGAGTACTGGGGGGAAAACTATGTAAAACTGGGAGGATATTGTGGTTGCGCCTTCATGGGTAGGGTAAAATAGGACAAACAACTGTCAAGGTCATCAGTAACAAAACTGTATAGAACTGCAGTCATGTGCTGCTAATTGAGATGGATGCGTTAGAATCAAATCCTCAGAATGTCTGAGAATTCAGAGTAGTGTCTGCTCCTGAACAAGTTGTACTGTGAAAGGTATTCCGGGAAGATATGAGAGTGATGATTAGGGTATGTGGTGTAAGAAACCATAAAGCTGTGCACTTATCACCAAAATGAGATTTTATATCAGTGAGTCAATTCTTAACATAATACTTGATTTTATTCTCTAGCTGGATAGCTTGGTGATGACTGGAATATTTTCAAAATAGCAGTCAGATACCGTAACAATAGCTATAGTACTTTTATTTTTCCCACCAGGATTTCTCCAGTGATTTGCCTTCGGGAATACATTCGCAGCTAGTGTCCTGTGTGAGTCAAAGCAGAAATGAAAAGCCTCAAGTGAAATGCTATTTTTGCTGGTGACAAGTGCTTGTTAAATCTGCTTCTGGTCAAGTTAGTCATCAAGACACCTGCTTTGATTACTCACCTTGCTGTTTTACACATTTATACTTTCTGATGATTGAGTCAGATTTGTATTTGGTTATGATACTAATAATTTGCGTTACACAGTTATAACTGAACCTTCTCTTTTAAAGCAAACCAAATAATCTCACCGGTTTACAGGCCACATGGCTTTTTGAAGGCTTAACTGTTACACCAGTAACAGAAAAACAATCAGCCTGTGGTTGCGAATGCGTTTGGCGGAAGCAGTGGAAGGTAGGTGGGTAGGTATGGAGAGTAACCAAGTAGAAGAGTAAATAACAAGGAGGACCGGCAACAACTGGGGAGCTGAGCTTGCTTTCATTTTTCCTTGCAGTTTGGGGCACGCTTATCTGTGAAAACTGTGTGGATCCCTCTCTGCTTATTACTTTAATTCAGGTGGGGATGCCTCATAGCACTCCAGTTAAGCTCAGAAATAGCAGTTTCTAGAAAGTTGGAAAGTTTTAGTCCAACTAGAAGTGTGAAATTTGAGGGTATGTGATATGACACGAGATAAGATGTTGGCTCATGTATAAACTTGGTAAAATACATACTTGCTAAACATCTTTAGAGTGTGTTTTTTTCTGAAATACTGAGGGGAAAATAAATCAGAAGGCATTCAGCTAAATGGATTGAGGATCTCATATTATTTAAAAGAACACAGTCTCTATTTCAGTATGAAAAAAGCTAAAACATTCATAGGAGTTGGAGGTAAATGATGTAATAT